ACTTCACTAGGATTCCTCCCAGACATAAGGGGGCATCTGCATGGATAAACAGTGCAAATCAAATCCTGGAGTCCTTACACCTAAATAAAACTACTACTGACATCAATAGGAAATTTTCCTACATAAGAACTGTCAACTTTGGCCCTATACGAGCATACTGATATATACCTACACCCACGTGCTCTCACACACACACACAATAATAGTTGCCATGAATACAGCACGGATAAGCAATTAAACACCCCTTGAGGAAATTCCAGTCTTCAATTTTTCAGACACATGCACACACTTGAAAGTGAACTAACCCAATTGAAGATGCTGTTGCAATGTATTTCTAGTGAAAGTTTATTAAGTTAATGTAAAAAAGAAAAAAGCAGCGATTTAAGGTAGAAATATGATGAAATGTAAATATGCAGAGAGATTCCCATAGCATAAATAGATGTCGCTCCACTGGACGCTGATGGATTGGTAGCAACTGACAACAGCTGAGGACTTGGCTCAAAAATGTTGTAGTCAATAATTACAGTTCAGGTTGTAGCTTCCTAGCAGGAGGCTCTTTCAAGTCAGCTGTGCCCCCGCAGGGATGTAAAAGCAAATCCAAATTCTTCCTCATTAGATGGTAACGGTCTGTCACCATGCTGGCTGTGGGTGGGCGTTCTATAACTGTACTCCTACATATGGGCAGTGAGCAGGCAATAGCTAGTGCTAAATCTGATGCTAGACTTAGGTGCAACTCACACAAAGCACCCCATTGTGCTTGGCAAGCCCAGCTCTGCTTTTTTAGCTCCCCTGCTGCCCCACATGCAGTGAGCCATCATCATACCCGACACAAACACCTTTTGAGAGATACACATGGGTGCTTAAAAGGTAGGGCTGCAAAATCTCAAATGTTAGAACTTGGCCAAATGCAAGAAAATGAACAAATAAAACTAAATAAGGTTTATGCTGTCGTGTGGCAGTTCTTTTCCACTTGCATTGTTTTCTCTCTCCTTCCATCTTTAGTAATCTTACATTCTCCTATTTTTTTTGCTTTTCCCTTTTGTCCGTTTTCTCCTTCTAATCTGACCACCCCAGCTCTCCTAGTACCACACTCTCTCTCTCTCAGGCATTTTCATCCTAAGAAGATGGAGTCCCTTCCTTTCTCCTCCTGTGCTGGGAGACTCCTTGGTTCCTTTTCACCTCACATTCACCATCCCCGAAAAGTTCTGGGATAAGGAAGTTGGAAGTCAGAGGCATGGGTGTGTAGGAGAAGGGGATGGGATTGGCTTCACTTTAAATCTGGAGAAGTTTAACTTAGTGTTACAGCTGGGATAAGTTTGCTTACTAAGACAACTTCATCCATGCAGGACCAGTCCAAATGCTAGTGGGGGTGCTGAGTATACCCATGGTTAAGCAGGGGTAGAATCCTCAACAGGCTGACATGCAATGAGAGAGAGGTTCTATGACTGACTACAGGACCCCTCCAGGCCTCATGCATCCCCTCTCAAAGGATAAGAGTGGGAAAAAAGGACCAGCAGCAGTAGATTTCGCCCCTACCCACAAGCAGACAGACAGCCTTCACAGAGCTCACTGTGGCCCAGGACCACAGACTCAGCAAGGCCTGAATTCTGGTAGGGCCTAAAGATCCACTCTTAAGTCTTCTCCTGGAAGGAAAAGAAATACTCTCTTTGCAGCAAGAGAAAGGATGGAACATTTCCTAAAGTAATGCCGCCCGTGCATATTAAGCAAATTAGGAGGCTAGGAGCCATTTGATGATGTATCTGACTCTGTATATTAAGTATTGTAATTTAAGTATTTTTCCACAATGTAAGGAAAATGCTCAAGTATTAATGCCCAATTTAAATATATTTCAGACAATCCAAATCGATCAACAGAACATAAACATTGCTTGAATTCATGAGAAATGCGTGGTACGATGCCTCAGTCACAGGCTTCCTGTGTTGCCACAGCTGCGGGAAATATGCTGCCCCCACACCTTCAATACCTCTGGCCAGACTCTCCTTAGCAAAACAATCACCGGCATTAGTTTTTCAGTCGTAGCATCGTTTTTACAGTGACTTATCTCCTCCCCATCTCAGCACAGAAGAGCTCAGTGCATCACAAAACTGAAGGGCAGCAGGACGGGGGGCATTAAAAGACGACTGGGATTTTCCTTGCTATGGGGGGGGAGATGAGGGAGGAGAATCATACACAGGATCATGTACATAGCTTCCCCAGCAGCATTAAATAAAAACTTTTGGAACTTAACCCTAGTGAAGTTGTACAGGTGAAAATAGAAGCTCTGTCAAGCTGTCGCAGTCAGTTCAACCATGACCTCTTAAGTAAATACCAGTTTCACTACATGTATCTGTGAAATACATTCAGTTTATTCACTCGCTTATCTAATATTCTGATATAGTTCTCATAGGCTCCTTTAGGATAAGTTTCTTTTTATTGACCCGCTTTAGTACATATCTCCCATACCTAGGCCCCCACATCTACAGTTCTAAAAATTGGGGAGGGGGAAAAAAACCCCACACCCAACAACCTGTACAAGCTCCCGCTGCATACAATATTAAAGTTCTGTTGAACAGTTTTCATAGTCAAGAGAATTGACAGTCTCCACCACCTTTATAGCATCACTTGTGTGTATTTTCACCACTTCATTTTTCCTCTAAAGTAGATCAGGGTGAAACACTGCTTCAGCAATAGGACTTTTGCATTAAGGAGTGAACTGTGGCCCTATTGACTTTATTGGCCCAGGAGGTGCATTTACACCGCGCCTCGGAATGCTTCGTTTCCTCTCTGGGAATATTGGAGGGTGACAGAACTTCAGCATGTCAGAAGAAATGACTTGTAACTAAAGCACCGATCCTTAAACCCTAACTCATGGGAGCAGTTCTGTTAACATCAATGACACAGTGTAAGTGGAGCCAGAATAGGGCTTTAAAGGAGAAATGCACTAGCATAATGGAACTATTCATGTGACTAATTACATCTTGTGCCACAAAGAGTTGGAAGGAAGGGGTCCTGCTCACCTTCTCATTGGAGTAGTCCCACTGAAATCTATTGGGTTCCACACAGGAGTAAGGAAGCAGGATTTGATGCTGGTAGTAAAGTAATGTAGTTCATGTTTGATGTAATGACTGGCATGGAGGAAGTAAAAAAATCAGTATGCCTAATTCTATGCTCCCTTACACAGGCAAAATTCCCCTGGACTTCAGCTGGGAGTTTTGACTGTGCCATGATCAATTAGTTATAATTTTGATTGAATGTAATTTAATAGCAAGATATAGCCGTAGAACGAGACAGCCCAACAATAATTCACCCGCCTTTATTTAAAGCTAGATTATCAAATGATTGGAAAGGAATACTAATAGCACTCAATGGCTCTGGAAATAAACCTGCTGCCAGGGCCATCTGTTCTGCTGCTGCCATGGGATGGTCCATTAGTCTTTAAACAGAGTTATAACACCTGAGCAGTGTTTTGTACTCCTCCCTGTGCTAAGCCTGGTCCAACACCCATTGTCATTAATTCAGAAACTACTATCTTCACTGGGTTTCAGAGTAACAGCCGTGTTAGTCTGTATTCGCAAAAAGAAAAGGAGTATTTGTGGCACCTTAGAGACTAACCAATTTATTTGAGCATAAGCTTTCATGGGTAAAAACCCACTTCTTCAGATGCATGGAGTGAAAATTACAGATACAAGCATAAATATACTGACACACTTAGAGAAGGGAGTTACCTTACAAGTGGAGAACCAGTGTTGACAAGGCCAATTCAGTCAGGGTGGATATGGTCCACTCCCAATAATTGATGAGGAGGTGTCAATACCAAGAGAGGGAAAATTGCTTTTGTAGTGAGCCAGCCACTCCCAGTCCCTATTCAAACCCAAATTGATGGGGGGCTGTTAAGTTTGCAAATTAATTGTAGCTCTGCAGTTTCTCTTTGAAGTCTGTTTTTGAAGTTTTTTTTCCTTGAAGGATAGCTACTTTAAATCTGTTATTGAATGTCCAGGGAGATTGAAGTGTTCTCCTGCTGGTTTTGTATGTTACCTTTCCTGATGTCTGATTTGTGTCATTTATTCTTTTACTAGAGACTGTCTGGTTTGGTCAATGTACATGGTAGAGGGGCATTGTGGATCATGGATATATCAATTAATAGATGTGAGGTGAATGAGCCCTGATGGTATGGCTGGTGTGGTTGGGTCCTCTGATGGTGGCACTAGAGTAGATATGGGGACACAGTAGGCAACGGGTTTGTTACAGGGATTGGTTCCTGGGTTAGTATTTCTGTGGTGTGGTGTGTAGTTGCTGGTGAGTATTTGCTTCAGGTTGGGGGGCTGTCTGTAAGCGAGGACTGGCCTGCCTCCCAAGGTCTGTGAGAGTGAGGGCAACGGGTTTGTTACAGGGATTGGTTCCTGGGTTAGTATTTCTGTGGTGTGGTGTGTAGTTGCTGGTGAGTATTTGCTTCAGGTTGGGGGGCTGTCTGAGCGAGACTGCTGCCTCCCAAGGTCTGTGAGAGTGAGGGCAACGGGTTTGTTACAGGGATTGGTTCCTGGGTTAGTATTTCTGTGGTGTGGTGTGTAGTTGCTGGTGAGTATTTGCTTCAGGTTCACTGGGTGTTGGTTAGGCCCATTGTGCAGAGACTTTAAATAAGGCGCACCAAGTGATAAATGTTAACAGAATGATCCAGTGATTTTTTCCCCCCCTTTTGAGATGAGGAGGTTAGTCTCACTATCATGAGCAACAATCCCTGGAAACCTTTTTGGGGAAGGCTAGTAGTGCAAGAGATTATTAAACAAAGAAACAGACCTTTAAGGTTTAAAAGTTGAATAGGTTTTCTTTTGTAGGAAGGAATCGTACACAATATTTTTAATTTAGAAAATAAAATTCATAATTGTACGAAAGTGGTGTCAGAGAAAAGCAGCAGCAGATCAAAGGAGAATTTTCTAAATTAAGCTATTCTCTTGCTTTTATTTTGAAGTGTCTTTATCCCACTAAAAAGACAAGAGACAAACTTTAATTTCAAAGTACTTATATTAATGTTTAAAAAAAATCAAGACTGTGTTCACATTTCCATGACAGAATAGACAATGTTTGAGGTATCAGAGTACACAGCACATACAGCTATCAGTGTAAAAGCCATACAAAAGAACTCAACACTGATAATTAAACAAGAATAAAAACCCAGTGAAACATCTGGTTTGACAGGTTTTTCTTCTGTAAAGAAATACATTTATATGCAGAGTCCCTAGCGACTTTAGAACTGATCTGGTCATATGACAGTAGGGTAGCAGTGGTTCCCAAGCTCCTGAGACTGGAAATCCCCATATTCCATTGCAATTTAGTCCCATACTCACATCCCAGTATAGTTCCTGCTATTTCTTTCCTTCTGTATCCACACCTAGGGTTTTTGGTAAGTACTTATTTTTTTCCCGCTTGGTGGGGTTTTTTTGGGTTGCCCCACTCCTTCCTTTCTGCTGCTGGTGGTTCTTCTTTCCCATTCCTACACCCACTTGAAGACCACCATTGCTACCCATGAGGTTACCAATCAGCAGGTTGGGGCTGAAACACATGCTTGTGCGGCTGATAGCTCTGGAGGAGCCAAGAAGAAAATAAGCTTGAACCAACAGCCTGAGCCTGTAGCCCTCCACTGAGTTGTTCCTTTAACCAACTACATTAGTGGGTACCAGATGGAGGGAGTACAGATAGGTTATACAGGAGACAATATATAGCCACCACTTAATTCCCGTCTGTGACAAATTCCACAGCTACATCATGCTTGTTAAGAGAGCGGAGGGTGGACAGGTCTGGATTCATATACCTTTCTTCATCCCCAATCTCACCTCTCACAGCTAGTCAGGTATTCCCTGGTTGGCAAAATATTCTGTTATAACATACCTAAATCTTTGTGCTTTGAAAGTAAGCCGTTCAGGGTTCGCAGGGGGTATTATTGCAGTGATCACTAGTAAAACACTGGCAACTACATAGTCAAAGCGTTCTAGAAGCAGAACTACTGCCACCCCTAGAGAAACCCACAAAACAAACAATTTAAAACAAGTGGAGAGAGAGTTGTTTTTATCTAGCCAATATTGCTTATGGGAATCCCTTACTGCTCAAATTGGGGAGAGGCACATTTTCCCCTTCTCTCCCCCGGTCTCTCTAGTATTCCCATGCACATGAAGCAAAAGGTCATTATGTTGGATAGACATGCTAATTTCAAAAAAAGAGCTGTGGGAAAGCAACTTCTATCAGGTTAACCAAGAGGTCAAGGAAACTCTTTGTTTCTATCTAACTACCATATTTAATCACAAAGTGATGGAGCAGATATTTTGACTTAAGTGGCCAGAAGACACTGACTATCTAGAGACACTGTGGCACAGTTTTGCTAAAAGTTTCCCATAATGAGTTTTGCAGTGTGTCTTCTCTTTATATTCAAAAGATTTTTTTTTTTTTTAAATCTTGTAATTGATGCAAGCAATGACAAAGTTACAGGACTGAAGCTCAGCCCACTGTGTGTGTTATATGGAACTGCTCTTAGAGCAGAAAGTAGTTTTTGCATTTAACTGCAGAGAAATATGCCAATGTAGTCCTTGATGAATCAACTTGTGTTTGTGACAATCATGCTGAGATTTTTGGAGTGCACAATACTAACATCACATACTTTAAATAAGAACCATTAGGCAGTACATTATTCATTAAGCAATATGGTAAACTGAACTATGTGACAAGCAGATTTAGGACTGGTCTATTCAGTATTCCAAATAACATATGTGTAGGTTAAGAGAATGACGACAAAAAATCAAAACAGTGATTTCCACCCCTATCAACCAGTAGTTATCATACCCACTCAGCCTACACACTTCAAAACAAAAAGTTAAATTACTGGATTAAGAGAGTTATTGCAGTCCTTACTCAGGGAAGGACTCCTATAAAAAAAAATATCAAAGATTGATGTTGCAGTCCTGCCCAAACTGTCTTTAGAATCTAAACATACATTCTCTCTGTTGATGATCATGAGAGCACAGACTGATGAAGTCTTCTCACACACACACACAAATTATTCTTCAAGTGTAACTTCAGGAAGGTATTGCAGCAACACTGGAATCTGTAATAATTCCTTGAGTGGTGCTTCACTCTTGATTTCACTGCAAATGTTCAACATCTAATGTCCTTGCCAGAAATTCATAGTTGGTGGATTGCTGCCAGGAAGGTAATAAGGAATGCTGTATTTCCACAGATGTAGATGGTTAACACAATCTCTTTAAATGTATGACCCTACAAGAGAAAATACACATTTTATAATTACAGTGTTGTAAAGAAAAGCACACACCGTGAAATACTTTCCAAGGTAGCAACTTGCCTCTGCCTCTGCCGACGTTAGCGACTGCAGAATTTGTATTCTATCTTCATCAATCACTTCAACTGCAAAACCAAAACAAACAGGTGGTTAGCCCTGTACTTGATAAGAAGAGATGCAATGTTTCATACACACACTTCTTTCTGGCTAATGGTTGATTTAGTCAATGGAGGGCATGGTATTAAGACTGATGAACAGGTCTCTCTACAGCCAGTTCAGAAACACCACTGAAAAAGCCTCAAGCAATGCATCCTCTCATGGCCTACACTTCAGTGTTCACAGTTAAGTAGAAATAAGGATAGAAGGTTAATGAAAATTTGGAAGAGCTTGCCAGAAGCATAGAGGACACTCTCAGTGTTTTGTCTTTTAAATGCTAAAGAGCAGTGGTTCTCAACCAGGGATAGGCAGAGGTCTTCAGGGAATACAGCAACTCATCTAGACATTTGCCTAGGGTTTACAAGAGACTATATAAAAAGCACTACGAAATCAATATAAACTAAAATTTCATAGATCAGTATAAACAAGTCAGTCTCTATGTACTATATGCTGAAATGTAAGTACAATATTTTATATTCCAGTAGATTTTATAATTATATGGTAAAAATGAGAAAGTATACAATTTTCTGTGACACTTGCATTTTTAGGTCTGATTTTATAAGCAAGTAGTTAAGTGAGGTGAAACTTGGGGTACACAAGACAGACTCCTGAAAGGGGTTACTCGTCTGGAAAGTTTGAGAGCCATTGCTAAAGAGGACAATTCAGTTAGGATTTCTACATCAGCTCCTGGATTTCTCATGGTCAGCTGGAATTTAACTCTTCTTTCCTCCAAAAATCCTCAGTTCTTCCCCGCCCTCATTTTGAGCCATTTGATGCTGCTTTCCTCTGGTTATTCAAGACAGAAACCAGAGTCACGCAATTCTTCTCCCCTCATGTATAGGCAGCATCTAACTCCTCCCACTTCTCCACATAATAGCTAAATTGGTCATTTCTCTGCATTCTATTTTATTAGTAACTATCACCCTTCTTGTCTACTGTAACCAGGGGTGAAAGTAGGAGGGTACCATGTACCGATAAGAAGCCAGTACCAGCCTATACGCAGCCGATGTTAAAGCACGACCATGGCAGCGCTTTAATGTCGCTACCGGCAGGGCTGCCGACTGGGGGGTGGCGAGACGGGCAAGAGGGGAAGCTGCCCCAGGGCCAGTGATTTAAAAGGGCCAGAACCCCGGGCCCTTTTAAATCTCTGCCAGAGCCCAGGCAGCGCGGGCCAGGCAGCATGGATGGGCTGGCTGGGGGAGGCTGACCCCCCAGCCCCACCCCTTCTACCCAAGGTCCTGTACCGGTAAGTATTTAATATTACTTTCACCCCGACTGTAACAACTGCTCTCCATCCTTCTCGGCAACTATGCAGTGGTTTATTTACTTGTGTATATAATCTTGACTCCTGGTGAGATACTGACCAAAGTGAAGATAAGAATTTGGTATGAAATCCTGTGCCTTACTGAAATTAACTTCAAAACTCCCATAGACTTCAATAGGGCCAGGGGCCCTGGTATTTAGCAGCTAATGAGTTACTCATTTTTGCTCAAATAGCATTTGTGCTTAAGGTCCCCTGCTGTTGATCAGTCTGTTCCTAGGTAGGCAGCTACAGCTAGTTACAGTAATGGTTTATCGCAGAGGATCCCAAGCGACAGTACCTGCTTTCCTATCCAGATTCAAAGGATTGAGTTCACTCCCACACTAAGCTTGACTTTCCCCATAATATCACAATAGCCAGTGTTGAGCTAGCAACACAAACAGATGATTTTTGGAGTAAGTTTTAGAGAATTGTGAGACCCTCTAAGTTTTGGGATTTCATGACACGCAGTTCAATTGAAAAATGCACCAGCACTTATTGCCAGGAAATTCTAACCAAAAAAAAAAAAAAGTGTCAAAACAATTCACCTGTTGTTTTCAAGAGTGGTCACCAAATTTACATACAAGTAGTCATCCATGAATCTATTTCACATATCCAAAATCACCTAAACAAGCTGATATTTGCAAACACAACATTAGTAGCTGGTTTAAGCTTCCTAACTGAGTGAGATAAATTATCCAAGTTTTTGCATTTCACCTGGGAAGTCCTATTTTGCACTACCTGGCCACTACCTGAGTGACACTAGCCATATTGTTTGGTTTGTACCTTTGCGAATGAGACAGTAGCTATGTATCTCCAGGAGAATATCAATACCGACGTGCCAAGCTACAAATCCAATCATTGTATACGTGTCCCATGGGTCTGGAAGGTTGAGTGCTGGTAGGTCCATTCCCAGGAACATAGTCACCACTGTTGTTAAAACAAAGTCATAGTTTAAAGATGTGAAAACAAAACATTGAGAAGTACTGTCCCCACGACAAAGCGACACAAGCTTATGGCTTAGTGGGTGAAAGGTTATCAAGAGTTAAATATACTTCTGGAGGCTTAAGAGTGAAAAACCACATCCAGCTATCTCTAACTGTATGGCTCAGGATAACCATGATCCTTGTTATACATTGATCCTATGAAATAACGTCATAGGATCATAAATTAGCTATGGTCCGGAGCTAATTTACCATATAGATTGTAAACATACTAATCTAAAAAGAGGTTTAGAAGGACAATGATGTGATACACAGCCACCATGCGTGATACACAAATTCCTCCAAATAAATGGAGAACCCCAACCGATTTGGAAACTCTGGTGATTATACATAATTTAAAAAACAAATCAAAAAAACCCAAAACAAAATGGTTTCCCCCAAAACTACAAGATGAGGAGAGAGGTGCCTTGTGCCCACTTAGGCCCTGAAGGAGATGGGCCACCAGAGTCCCCAAAGACGAAAGGCACAATAGGGGTCCCAGTACTCCATATGGATAGGTGGAGACTTAGGGAAAGGAGAGGAGCTTTGAATACACAAATTGCACAAATTTGTCTGGTTGTTGCTTACCCTTGCTACTGTACAGGATTATGTCTGGTTTGTATAGCCCACACAGACAAAACCCTTATTCTAAGACCACTTTGGTGATTAAGGAGATTGAAGCGGTCATCTACATTAAGATCCATGTTTGTGTAACTAGAGTTCAACCACCACTCCATTTCTGCAATACCAACATCTCAAGATGTCTAAGCAAATTACAAATGGGCTATAAACAATGAGGTACACTAGATATGCCTAGACAGGATTACAATTACTCACCAGCTAGTATTCTAGCTGTTGTGCCAGCACTCCAGTGAACCCAGTTAAATACTTGCCTTCTACAAGGTGAAGAAATAATCAGTGTTATATCAAGTAATTTAGTTGCCAACCTGAAATCTTCCAAAGGATGGAAAAAGATCCTTAAATATGCCATGTTACCTTGAAAAATATGAAGTTTGTATCTGTATGAAACATGTTTAAAACTTGTTTTGTATACTATCAGTGTAACCTCTTGGAGAAGTACATTATGACATTTTAAGGAGTGTAAATATCAGAGTACCTTGGTGCATGAGGAGGTGGTCTGAAACCAGCTATCAGAGGTTGAAAGATTGCCAGAGCCATCACGGTACAGCCAAGATACGGGTGAAAGCCTGCCCACTGAACAAACGATTTCTTTTTATTAATACTGTGACATTCATGCTAAACAATGCAAGCATTATTCAGACCAAAGAACAGGTCAGGAACAACTGTACACAATTGCAAAGCCTTATTTTAATACAGTTTCTTTCAGGTACATTCCAAGGCCCTCTCCTTAGCTACTAGTGTTCCCACCTCACATGCTTTTTGCTCCAAGTCTTGGCTATGAGTAGAGCACTTTTTCTCCCAGTGTATGTTTTTAAATTAAATTTAAAACTGAATTGTTATTTATAGTGTACTAGGCAGCTTGAGAAAAAAAAGAGAGAACTAGTGGACCATGGGGACAAAGCTAAGAGCAAAGGACATAATCAGGAAAAGGAAGATTCACACTGAGCGTTAGGAAGATTCAGACTGAGTGTTGGGGAGAACTTGATGTCAAGTACTATCGTCACACATAGAACACTTTTCTTAAGAGAAGTGCTTTGCATTCCATCATTTAAAATTAGGCCAGATAAAGCACTGGAAAATTATACCACACAGAAGAGTTCTGTATTAGCTGGATGAGGGGAGGGGAAGAAGCAGCAGATTGACTCAGGACCTAATAGATCTTTTTCATCTTTAGTTTCTGTGGTGAAACTAGAAAAAAAGTGGGCTCAAAGCAGGTAGAATAATTCTAAACAAGGGCTTTCACACACAGGGGGAAAACCAGAAAGATAAATGCCTGACTTATACTTGTTTGTCATCAGGAGATCACTCAAGCACAGCAATGAAGTAACAGCTTTCATCGTAATTTCTTTGGAATTAAATAACTACCTAGGATGACATTTAAAAAAACCCAAATCTACTGTTCATACTTCAAATGACATTTATCCTGGAACCAATACACAGACTTAAAATCTCAGAGGCAGCACAAAATTTTTACTCACTTTACTCCAGCCTCCTCTGTATATAAAAGGAAGAACAAAAGCGATGCTCGTAAGAAGCACTGTGGTCAGCATCAGCATACGATGTACCTATGAACATTTAAATAGGTTTAAAAAGAAGGGATGGCAGTGTATTTTGGAGTTTTATTAGATTAAACTGTTAGAGTTTGCATTACATTGGCAGGCAAGCAGAGATTACTAGTAAAGGCAAAGTCCATTGTAAATATGAGACAGTACCTAACTGAGCTCATTGTACTTCACAAATCCAAATGAAAGTTATGGCCTGTGGCACCCCAGGTCAAGAAATAAAAGAAAATTTAGTATAAGGAGCATGACAGTCTCTCGTGTTTTATTCTATTTGTAATAAGACTAATACATACTAAACTTTTATGTATAGTTTTTTGCCCACCTGGAACCAAATCTCCTTTCCAAACAACGAATGAGGCCAAACTGGTTTGAAGAATCTGGCAACAATAACACCAATACTAACTGTAGTCATCCATGCAACAAACATTAATGAAGCTGAAGGAGAAAAATAGTCACATGTGAAAATTTGGTTATAACACTGGATATGAATAAAATTGACCAAATATTGCGGAGGATAAGCTTCAAAATGTAGCATTAGAAGAACATAAAAGAGTAGAGGGTCAAATCCTGCTGGTACTTGGTTCAAAAATGCCCCACACAAAGAGGTGCATAGGCACATTGGTGTACTCTTGCTATGTTATATCTCTATTTTTTTGAGCTGAGATCAGCCAATAATAGGACTAATCTGTATGGATAGCACTGTAGAGAGATCTGGGCCAGGTCAGAGAAGGCACATGCACAAAGATATAGATTTCACTTCCAAACCAGAGGGCAGTCTATTGCTGCCTCCATGAGCCGGTTCACTGTGCAACAGCACAGGTCAAAACAGAGGCAGTAATGAGCAGCCCATGCGTTATCTCTGACCACAGGTTTTCTGGTGAGCACCTACACAGTGAATTTTTGAGTTAGATTTTAGTAGCAAAAGTTTAAAGTTAATTCAAAACAGGTCTTCTTTCTTTGACAGAAAGTAGAATTTTCATTCAGCTCTTTAAGGACCTGGTTCAAAGTCAATTAATGTGAATGGAAAGAATCCCATTAACTTCAATGGGCTTTGGCTCAGGCTCCAAACCACCACCCAATGAGTGTCTCATGATTAAGGCTGCGTGACTGTCAGAGGTCACGGAACTCATGGATTCTGGGACTTTCCGTGACCTCCATGACTTCTGCAGTGGCCGGTGCTGGCTCAAGGGCTGCCTGAGTCGGGCAGCCCCTGGGCCAGCAGCAGTTTGGGTGTGTGGGATGCAGGGTAGAGCTTACCTGGGGGGGGCTCCCTGGCTCCCACTGGCATGTCCCTGCAGCTCCTAGGTGGAGGAGCCAGAGGGCTCCATGCGCTACTCGCACCCACAGATGCTGTCCCTGCAGCTCCCATTAGCTGCCGTTCCCAGCAGGAGAAGTGCATGGAGCTCCCCTGGCTGCCCCTCCCCCAAGGAGCTGTGGGGACATGCCGGTTGGAGCCAGGTAGGGAGCCTGCCAGCTCTGCCAACCCTCCCCCCACAGCAGGGGTCCCAGGCCATGAGCCGCACCAGCAGAGGTCCTGGACCATTTCTGCACATCCCCCCGGCAGCACCTACGGCCTTCCAGCCCAAAGTTTTAATTAAGGGTATATAGTAAAAGTCATGGACAGGTCACGGGCCATAAGTTTTTGTTTACTGCCTGTGACCTGTCCATGAGTTTTACTAAAAATACCTGTGACTAAAATGTAGCCTTACTCGTGGTACATGCATTTATTTTACATTGTATTGGAAAAAGGGAACTTCAAAATAGAAATACAATTCTAAATTTAGACTGCTAAGTCATAAAAATAAGAAAACAAAATTCCTTTAAAAACAAGAGAGCTAGTAGTATGCTTAACAAATAAGTAAAACAAGTTCCTCTCTCTGGATGAGTAGAATCCTGCAAAGCCAAGTTACAGTTTGTCAGGTTTTTTAAACTTAAGCAAAAAAAAAAAAAAAAAAAAAAAAGTGTTCCTACTTTTCCCCCCTAGTTTTCCAAACCAGCTCTTGTATCAGGAGAAGCAGATACCCCAGTGGACTGACACACCACAGGAAATAGCTACTTTCCAAAATTTTCATCCTTCTTTCTGCAATCAATAGTAGCCTCTTCAGCACTCAGCAAATCTAGTATTTGAAGTTAGAACTGTAACTTGCCATGGAGTTTAAGAAGAAGTGGAGAGCGGGATCCCCCTATATCTTTTGGAGAGTCTGTGACATTGTACATTCCATTGGTGATCAGAGGCTGACGATGATGTTTGTGAATTAGACCTCCTATGCAAAGATACAGAGTAGTTTATAGATTGTTAATTAAAGTCGCTGTGCTTGTACCCTTTCCCCTCCCATCCTTTGTTTACAATTCAGTGAGCATCATGTGTTGTAGGGGGATGGCGATTGTGTTTGTAAATTTCACCTCTGCAGATTCTGACTGGAATCTTTTGGATTCAGCTCCACCCGCCCCCCTATAAGAGTTTTTCAAAAAATTATAAATATGTATAATCTACCTTAAAAAAAAAAAAGATAGCATTCTATTAGATCTATAGGGGTTTGAAGATTATCTTGTATACAATGCTATTTAGTTTCCATACTCCTTTTAGTTTAATCCCTATTAAAAATTGTATACGATTCTCTCTCAAGAATACTACTCCAAGCACCAGATGGTTATGGAACACATTTATATTAAAAACAAACCAGATTTTTGTTACAATTCCAGAGATAAGCCAGAACTCATTACATTAAGGTCATTTTCACTGGTTACATGTGAAACTTGAGACAGAAGTCAGATTACTTCTCATGTTTATTTTTAATATACCTTACAGGGGATAGTCCTTGTTTAGCATGTTTGAGAAATGTGAATATTTAACCATATCTTCAAATCAGACTTACCTTCACTTGCCCCCCCATCTGCCAGAAAGATGTAATAATTAGCATCTAGATTAAACCTCCCTTTATAAGCAGGAAGACGAAGGTTTCTTCTGAAAGAGCACTGAACAAGACCATCAGCCACTCTCCATGAGATATCTTCAAGGCCATTCTATGAAACATACAATTAACATTTAATACTCATTTCAAGTTTGAAAGACCCCACACAAATTTACTGTGCTCCTTCCTCAAGGCCAGTGATTTTGGCCAAGCTCTGCTTGACCAATGTTGGATAATGAGCCAATGTTCACTGTCTCTTAACAGCCTACATCATAAAAAGAGAGAGTTAGCTGCATCAGCATAGTCCATAATGCCAGCAAAAATCTGAGAGTTCTGCTGGTGTGGTAGGTTTCTAGGCAACAGCTGCAGGCACATGCTTTCACACGTTACATTTTAGGGCTCTGTCTTCAAAATGGTGACTAACAAAATTGAGTCTTACACGGTGCATTTACAGAAAACTATTTTTAAAAGACAATAGCTGCACAGGAGCACTGTGAGGTTAAATTACTTGCTCAAGGTCACACACAGAGAGCATAAGGCAAAGACAGAGTGCTTCCCTGAATAACAGAATCAGGAAATTTGCATCGTATTACCCATTTGTCTGCCACCTCAGCATGACCTTGGGGAAGTCACTCCCCGCTACCATTTTTACTCTCAGTTAACCTCTTGTAGAGTTACTGCAGGGCTCTCAAAGATCACTTGCCCTGTGGAGCTCCATCAGCATTAGCAACAGTAGGCGATTTTTAGAAAGTTTCCCTAGCATAGACGGGGCAAAAAAGGACAAGTTCCTCAGACCACAAGGAAACTACCGCACAAGTTGTTCAAATAGAAGTCATAAAGAAGCCAGCAACAGATCTGGGTCTTGACATATCTTATGCATCAGAAATAAGCACCTTCTATGTGAGGTGGGTCAGTAAGGCCAGAGAGGGAAAAATCTTGGGGTCTTGATCATAAGATGGCTGGTTATAGAGCTACTGCCTTATTAGCTCCATTCAGAGCTACTGGGTTAAAAAGAGACAAATTTAGGACCCAGCTGTGTGCAAAGTGACTTAACGGTCACATACCATACCTCTGAGTCCAACACAGGAGGAGTTCGCCCACTAAGATAGGCCGTGTTTACATTAATACGGTGATCTTCATTAATACACAGATAAGCATCATCGTCACCCTGAAAATAAAAGCATTTTCCCCCAATTTAGATAGAAGTTATAGACAAAGCCATATGCAGATGAATGGTTTATTCCAAGCTCTCCTTTCCACCTGTGCTATACTCGGAGTAACTCCATTGCCATTCCAGCAAGTTTACAATGGAGCAACTAAACGGAGAGTCTGGCCTGAAGTATTGTAAAAGTTGAAAGTTTGAACTTACAAAATCAAATGGAACTACTACTTTTTTGGATGACATTAGCTAGAAATCTACAAGGTATTAAAAGTTATTTAATTGCACACCATATGCCAATACCAATCTTTGCATTGTCAAGTTGAAGATGATAATGTTAAATTTTAAAAAGTTTACTCCAACACAGCAAGCTATAGTGCCTGAAATTATAAAGGCTTACCACCGGGGGTCAGTGGTACACGTACTTTTTAAAGTATTTATGCAGGCAGCACCAGGATAGTCTGTAAAATGGTTTGATCATGGTGTCCAACAGCCCATCGACACAGTGTTTTTGGGATGCTAAAAGTGTTTTTATCTAGACTTTTTGAACATCAGTGCCAAAAAGGGGTGGGATTTTAACTCAAATGAATAACTTATTTATAAATAAAATTACTCCAGGCTTTTTCTACAAAGTATCCCCATCCACATTGCCAGAGCCTCTTAAATACCTCCCCCCGCTCTCCTGCTGGTAATAGCTCATCTTAAGTGATCACTCTCCTTACACTGTGTATGGTAACACCCATTGTTTCATGTTCTCTGTGTATATAAATCTCCCCACTGTATTTTCCACTGAATGAATCCAATGAAGTGAGCTGTAGCTCACAAAAGCTTATGCTCAAATAAATTGGTTAGTCTCTAAGGTGCCACAAGTACTCTTTTTCTTTTTGTGAATACAGACTAACACGGCTGCTACTCTGAAACCTTAAATAACTGTGATTATTTAAGCTAAGTAAATCAATTTACATTATCACATTTGTGATTAAAACTGGAATTAGCTGTTGAGGTCAACAAAGAAGAGAACATTATTTCTTCCTATATTTGTAGAGTGAAGAACTACTTTTTCCTGTGACAACAGACATGTAGAAATGCTTTAAGAATGTTACTCTGTTCAGTAAGGAAGTTAGATATACTGATTAGTGCAGAATACTCTTTCACATTGTAACTCTCTTCAACCATAAGAATCTCCAAAGGGCTTTCAGGAATGAATGCGTCCACCCCTGAACTGCATACTTATTTTGGACAGAAACCACAGTGAACATACAGCAGATTCCTTTTAGGACAGGCAGTGGAGAATATCGCATCTAACTGCAACTACCCAGGAATTTAGTTATGCTACAATGTAACTGTCTGGAATTTGATCAAAGGCAAGTTCTCCTTATTCTTTCAGAGAGTGCCAGAGGATCTTTAATGCAAGTGTTAAGTCGGGGACTACATTTTTCTATCCACACTTGTAAGAGGCTACCTCCATCCAGCAATGCTCTCGAGCACCACACTGGAGTAATTATTAGTTGGGGAAGTGCCACTATCACCTTTTCCAGCAGCATTTCAGGTTTCTCTTGAAGGGTTCTCATCTGACTACTACTCAGGCTCAGGTCTATTTAATTTAGAAAATCTGACGGACGTGCAGCTGAGAATGGTGGGGCTATACCAGTCTTCATCCTCAATTTCTTGACTAAGAATAAATTTATGTATTTTGTTGTGCTACTTGGATGGTATAGGAAATACTGTAAAAAGGATACTCACCATCCACTGGTCATGAGATAATGCAAAGGCTATATATCCTTCACTAGGACCACTCATTTCAATAAGCACTGAGTGGTTATTTTGTTTGAAGGACAGAAAGAAACAATAGGCAGCCCCAGGATCACATTTTGGAGGATTCCTTATGCAGAACTTGGTACTTCCACAGCCGGAGGCATTAAACTGGACAGACAAGTAGAAAATTAAGTTAACAAAAGAAGCTGGTCATTCTCCACCCCACCCCACGTACAACTACAATTACTGTAGTCCCAACTAATGTAGAAGTGAAGATTTACACAGAAAATGCATAAAGAAACCCCTCTTCTTCTCCCCTACCCCACCCAGCCAATAATTACTAACCAGGATTAGAATTCACTGTCATGGTAGTTATTAAATTGTGAGCTTTGAATTCACCAATCAGTTCAAATGAAAGAGTTTGACATCATAATAGTAACAAGGCTATAATTTGGAAATGTAATACAATCCTCTCCTATCCAAGGACGTTTCTTCTGTTAAGTTAATTATAACTTATTTTATTAAAGTAAAATGTTTCTATATACTTTTTCAGACTTCCTGGTGTCTCACTTTTCCTAGACTATTCTAAGTCATTAACAACCCCATAGTGCTTAAGTTATTAGAAAGATGCTACTGTGGACTCTTACCAACTCAAAATAGCACATACTAGGGGAGAAAAAGTGTCTATTTTTTCCTGAATAGTTAGTTGAAAACCCACCAAGAAAAGATAAGCTGCACAGAAGCCCGATACATAGCACTGAACTTTGAGAGTACTTTAAATACAACAAATTCAGAACAAGCATGTTCAATATAGCAGTAAGTGGAAAAAGATGTCATATTGCTAAACCTGGTCATGTTAAATGAGAATACTATTGCCCAACTAATGTTGCAACTTTAATTAGCACTTCAAGAACCAGTAATGGAAGTCCATACAAAGATAAATCCATGTGAACAAGCAGTTATAAATTAAGCCTACCCACTAATCTATAGAAATAATCTACTGTGTTCCTGCCAACCCACACCCTCATTTTTTTAAACCCGAGTTTTATTTATACAGAACCACAGGTCAGCATGGCTCTTTATACATAAAGCATGACATCACTCCCCAGAGGAGCTTAGGTATTTGTCTTTTCACCTTCTTACTAAAACAGTGCTTGAACTGAGTTTCCTTCCCCCACTCCTTTTCTCTCAACACTTCAATAGTTAATAATCTGAGACACACATGATGGGTGAGGTAATATCTTTTATTGGACCAACTTCTGTTGGCAAGAAAGACAAGTTGAGACAAAAAGAGAGAAGTTGGTCCAATAAAAGATATTACCTCACCAACCTTGTCTCTCTAATATCCTGGGACTAACCTGGCTACAACAACACTGCAAACAATAATCTGATAGGTTATTTCCTATCTTCCACCTTCTGCCAACACAGTGGCAAAGAAAACCGTAACCGCAGCCCTACTTAGGAAAAAACTCCTGTTGAAACCAGGCATAAGAACAGAATAAAGGTTGCAGAATTTAGCTCATAATAGAGAAGTGATACCCACTGATTTTGTTAGATGGTAAACTGGCTGTGAAGTTGGTAGAGTCTCTGGTGTAATACTTGTAGGTGTCGTCAACGGTGGTGCATTAGGTTGGGAAATGATGGGACCAGGAATCTTCACCCAAAAGATTTCATATTTCTCTACAACTGTGGCTCTGAGGGGAGGGGAGAAAACCATACAAATATTCAGTGCTGTGAGGGGTGTGTAAGTACTAAATGAATGACTAAATAATGCTTTACGAAAAAGGAGGGAGAAACTCCTTTATTTAGCTGGGCCAAAACCAAACACACGTGTCATATTATGTCATACAATTAATCTCTCCAAACTTGGCATCTACACAGGTACCTGATGGGGTGGGTTGGTGGGTTTTTTTTGAGGGGGGGTGGGGGGTGGAAAAGAGTGAAACCCTCCAGCTAAAAGGACCTACCACATAGCAGATCAAGCTTCAGAAACGGATTCAAGGCAGTCACTTCCCAACTGCCTGCTGCATAACTTGCAGCATCACAGAAGGGTGGCATTTAATTTCTATTTCAAAAACATGAGTGTCACTGTTCATACCATACATCCTGGGTCCAAACTGTAAAGCCATATAACGGTAGCACACGTGTGCAGTTTTGCTTAGGAATTAAACTAAAATTCACACATCACAAAAATATTTCCATCACTACATTTGTAAATCACCCCTTGCCAAGAGACAGGAAAAATCCTAAGTAGTAGGCCAGTGTCAGCTGGTAACATGCCTTGTAACTTCCCCCACTTCCAAAAGAGGAGAGAATTTTGATGATTTTCCATAAGCGGCAGAGCCAGTTCTTGAGCAGGAGTTGGTGTGGGCAGAAGAGGGAGGTTTCCTCCGGAGACATTTCCTGGGTGCTAGTCAATATTTATGACAGAGATAACACTATATATTCACCTAGTTTGCATTTCTAATAAAGTAGCTCCAATGTTGTGTTTACTTACAGAAATTGTACATGTTCTGGTGCATCCGTGGGAGCAACCCAATAAGCCTCTACATGTTTCTTTTTTGATTTACTAGTGTGACTGACAGCAGAATTCTGAAACAGATATATCCAGAATCAGAGAGAACCTGCACATAGGAGTATATATGACAAACTATGTACATATAGCAGCACTCCTATAGTTATTTTACAAGGCAACACAATGGTGCACCAGAGATGCAGTTCAACTCGGTCCTGAACAAGCCCAGACCCACCCCACCTTCCATTGGGGTCCTATGAAAGGGAATCAGTTACAACTGGGCTGTGGAAATGACCGATGTCTGCAATGCTGTGTGTTCTACTTAATACTGACACACTAAGAGGTATAGTCTACTTGCTGTGTGCAGAGCCAGTTGGCGCTAACCATTGCACATTAGTGGAAGCTAGAGGCTCTGGCCAGAGCTAACTGCAGAGAGCCACACCTCCATCTGCAAGTAACTGCCCAACTGTGTTGAGCTGCTGCCTAAACAGAACGAGAAGGGCTAAGAAGCTTAGGGCATGTCTACACTGGGGATTTTAGCTATTGGTGTAGCTACACCAATGCATCTTAGTCCCCATTTGAAACACATACCATACCTTTGTAAGTCCACATGTCAGGAGCTGAGAAATCCTCTCTTCAGCTAGCATAAAAGAGCCAAGTGCAGGGCCAGCCAAGTTCTCCGCATTCCGGGCTTGTATGAAAAATCCTTCAAAAACGGGACCAGATAAATTAACTAAAATAAGGAGGGGAAAAAAGGTAAGATGTTAAGATGTTTCCAATGTAATCTGTAAAGGTGGAAGTGAACAAATATGCTTCCCCTGCCCCCCGAACCCTGTGCCTTAGCAATGACCACTGTTTAATGCTATTTTAGAGGTTAACTGCACTGACTTGGATGAACATTCATAAGCATCATCAGGACATTTCAACTTTCTCAGGATGGGGCTGTCTATGGTTCCTTAAACCAGGTAACCACAAGGAATCTACAGAAGAGGAGTGTGAGGCAAGACAAAGCACTCTCTTTGACCACCGTACTTCACCACAGCTGCAATGCTGGACACAATACCTTTTATATGGTCCCCTGGTCTAAATTCAGTCTCATTCACTGATATAGTGTGCTTAGGCAATGGCTGTGGAGAATGTCCATGGCAAGGCATCATACTACTGCAGGCCTCTTTTACTTTTCCATTTGGATAACCAGCCGCAGGAACAGAAAGAAAGGCAAATATCCAAAGAGTGAAAGCCAGTCCAGGAGGCTCCATCTGAATAAGTTAAAGTCACACATTATTAACCAACACTGTAAATGCTATGCTGTTTACAGAGTAGGAAGACTAATGATTAAATTTAAAAAAAAAAAAAAAAATAGATGTTTGCAAACATCTTCACAAGCGAAGGCACCAGGTTCAAGAATCATAGCAAACTGGAGTATCCAGACAATTGCCAGGCATTCATGAGATTGTTTATAGACACCAAGCATTTAACAAATTTTAGCATGAATGATTGTTTGTTCAAGAACTCCTGTGGTTGTGGAGGATCACCCAGCCATGTGGTACTGTTTGTCCTCTCTGGCCAGATTTGTGTTGTGGACAGCCTACCATTTAAAGCAAGGTGTAAGTTTATTTTCTCCTTTTAAAATAGCCCTTTCAGAAGAGTTTTTTCTGCCTTTCTGCTGATATTTATGGGTCCTCTCAACAGTGAAGAGAAGATAGGACCATGAGCAATAGCCCCCAAACATGTGTGGGCTCACCCTTTGCTTCTTCTATGCTCAGATACTTGAAGTGAGGATACTTGGCCCTTATTACACAGTATAAAAAGACACTCCTCACTTTCCTTTTACATTTTCAAAATGCTTCACAAAACACTAACATTCTCACATATGTAAATATCACCCCTGTTTTACAGATGGAGAAACAGAGGGAGAGAGATTATCTGACATGATCAAGGCTGCAAAGAATCTTTGTCCTGGGAGTAGAACTCAGGAGTTCCTGCTTCCCAGTCTCATGCTCAGCCCATGCTACAATCTTCAGTTGCATTCTTCAGTCAGTCCTAGAAAAGATAAGTCAGCCCCAAGCAGGGACCTGACTCAAAACCCTCCCTACATGGCATTACACCCTTCTTCATCTGACCAGTCCAGTCAGATGAAGCCCACCAGTTACTCGGGACATATGCAGCTTCAAAATCATAGAATATCAGGGTTGGAAAGGACCTTAGGAGGTCATCTAGTTCAACCCCCTGCTCAAAGCAGGATCAACCCCCAATTTTTGCCCCAGATCCCTAAATGGCCCCCCCTCAAGGATTGAATTCACAACCCTTGGTTTAGCAGGCCAATGCTCAAACCACTGAGCTATCCCTCCAAATGCAAAGGATCATAGCATTAAGGAACAACAAAAGCCTATCACAAGTCCAGACGTTTATTAATCAGAATGACAAAGTAGTCCAAATCAAGCAGTACAGATGGAACTAGTCATATATTTATTCCTTTTTACATGACTAAAGATTCCACAGTGACAAGATCTTCCCCAGTGATTACAATGGCCAAGTAGTGAAAAACATTTCTTTAAAGTCAGATGAAACAAACGATTTTTAGAATGTTGTCACAGTAATAAAGCTACTGTTTCAAAGTACAAAGTTACTGGCTAGAACTAAACTCTGATCTTATGCACTAGAAAAATATTTGTTTATTAGTTTGTGGGAAAAAACCTGTATTTCCATTAGCTACAAACAGGTTTTCCCAAAGCACTCCCCCATGGAATCACCTTTTTGGATTTGAACAGAGTAGTCCTGGACTTTTTTTCTCCTTTCATCTTGAGAAACAAATATTGATGCAAAGAACCATGATCTATTAGGACTGAAGATCATGATGGAGGGCAATGTAGATCTGACACCAGAGGTTTAAAAGAAAGAAAATTTAATTTGTTCTGCCACAATGGGGAGTATGGCAGAAAGGTAGGTCTGGGTTTTTAATGTTACTTTTATGTACAGTCAGATCTTTTATGGGGATGGGGTTGCTATTCTGCATGTTAAGCAGAACATTGTAAATAAAGTTTTCAATTATATATATGAGGAAATTGTTCAAAATAAGAATACATTTTATACTGATTTTGCCTCATCCTCGTGTTTTCTTGCATTATGGTACTGTTATATGAACAGTATTTGTATACACGATACGTTCTGTACTTACAGGTATAAGATAGCCATTTGATATTATGCACAATATTGTTCCAAGACAGATGCTCTGGGTGGCAGCATTATTTCAGGGTATACTCATTAAATGGTATCTGGGGTTTTGACATGTACCTGGTGCACCTTTACCATATGATGAAAATAACTTGTTTCTACTATGGTCAAACAAAATGGTAAGAAAGACTCTTCACCCTCACTGAGGCCTCTCAAGGTTGAAAGCAGATTACCAGAGAGAGTAGAGTTCCCCTATTCAACTGTGTAGGAAGACATACCCAAGTCAGAAATATACTAATCTGAGGTCCAAAGATCTTCTTTCTGGGAAAGTACTCTATTTTAACAAATAGATCAGAAAAAATGAGTTTGGAAGCTTCCTAAGCACATATGGATGTAAAGATAACACAGGCACAGCACCATTTCTCAGATGAGCTGAGCCCTGCCCTGTGATAAAAGAGAAACCAGAAAGGCTACAAGGCCAGAGTAACCATTTATTCACTCTAGAACAGGGATTCTCAAACTTCATTGCACTGTGACCTCCTTCTGACAACAAAAGTTATTACATGAGCCCAGGAGTGGGGACTGAAGCCTGAGCCAGGGTTAGGGCAAAGATGAAGCCCAGGGCTGAAACCAAAGCCTGAGTCCTGCCACCCGGGTCAAAGCCCAAGGGCATCAGCTCCCAGGTGGTGGGGCTTGGGCTTCACCGCTCAGCCCTAGCAAGTTTAACACCAGCCCTGGCGACCCCATTAAAACAGGGTCACGACCCACTTTGGGGTCCTGACCCACAGTTTGAGAACCACTGCTCTAGAAGCATGTAATATTAGCTCTTTTCCCAGAGTGCTGGATGCAATTGTACAGAACAATGCAGGATTTGTTCTTCTTAAAGTCAGCAAACAGCTCTAAATTTGAGAAAAATCCATGTCTTCAGAGTGATTATACTTCAGGGACTACTAGAACAAACACCATCACCCCGAAAAACAAAACTATTGTTTTTCTTAAGAACACTGAGACACAAGACAGGCTAGTATACAAACTCACTGTGTCATCGATTACTTCTAGAGAGCTGGTTTCCAAGCTTATTGCAGATGACAAATTAGAATGAATTTGGTGAGCTCCTCCTAGTCCCCATTCAAGCACATCTCAAAAATCCGTCACAATTCTCAGTCACCACCAGCGTTCTGTGCTGGAGGGGCAGAGGAGCACATAGAGGATATAGTTTGCAAGAACTGAGTTGCATTAGATTTTTGGTATAAAGAAAGCTTGCATAGTCCTTGTTGAGATCACAGTATGCTGGCTCAAGTCACTGCAACTTTTCCCTCCCTGTCATGAACTCTTAGTAACAGAAGGTATAATAAGCTTCAACATGTTTCAGAGTAACAGCTGTGTTAGTCTGTATTCGCAAAAAGAAAAGGAGGACTTGTGGCACCTTAGAGACTAACAAATTTATGTGAGCATAAGCTTTCATGAGCTACAGCTCACTTCATCGGATGCATTCAGTGGAAAATACTCCATGTCCCCAGCCAGCTTCAACATGTTGACAGTTACCAAGAGATAAGACGTGTATGTGATAAGGCGATAACAAAACAATGTTTAGGGTTCCAGTTTAAATAGTAGATGATATGGTACAGATTTTTTTTTTAAAAGAGAAGCCAAGGTTATTCTTCTGCAAACTGAATTGGTAACAATGCTACTTTTTTCCATAAAGATAAAAATGGCTTTGCACAGGGGAGAGAAGAGGGAGATGTGAAATAATGGTCATGCTGAACAGTCATTTAAAATGGGAGATGGGGTAGGGAGACATTTATACAGGGATAAGTGAGTTTCTGCTCCGTATCCCAACTTTCCTACTAAAATTTATTCCTCCTTAAAAAAAAAAAAAAAGCGCAGCTGAGTTTCCTAAGAAAGTCCCTTACTTTCTTTGAGTGAAGATTCTTTTACAGCATAACATTTTTCTCAGGGTTCTTCTCCCAGTAACAGGAAGTTATTCTTGAAATGCAGTTCCTTCTACTACATGTATATACAGCAGTATTTTAAGTCTTTTGGAGATTCACTTTCTGTGGAATGTCAGAGAGAAGAGGAATTTGGCACTGAACAGAAGCCAATTTTTGTAAGAGGTGAATCCAACCAAATACTGTACCTCAGATTCAAAGTTGCCCAAATTCTCTGAAAGGAGTTCAGTGTTTGAAACCCAATCCAAAGCAGAATGTCATGCCAGATACCATTCCACATAGTGGTAAAGCCCCAGACCTAAACACCTTGAAGTTTGGGAATTAAAGCATAGCACCAAAGATCATTCTCACCTCCAATCTATTGCATATCTTACCCTTCCTTAAGGGAAGAGAAAAACTAGACCAGGAGAAAATGTCAAGGAGCTGACTTACAATAAAGCCTCAGTATAGGTACATTTTAAGACTTGTGTCTTGTTTGCCCTGAAGTCCATAACAGTAATAACTGAGACAGAACACTTCACAGCCTTGTGAATATGACACCATCAACCACACATTAACTAAAAGCCACGAAGGAAAAATTGAATTGCTTGGAAAATTGAATATATATATTATCAGTAGGTCAGGATGGTGTGATATTCAGAGTTTTAAAGGGAATTAGCTAATTAACTTACTGAACCAGTAATAATTGCTTCAGAAAAGTCACCATAAACAATGATGAAAGTACCATAAGATCTCAATAATTCAAATAATGTGTTGAAATCAAGAGTGGTAAGAAGATAAACCTGGTAAATCTATGTCAATCATTAGTAAAATTACAGAACATTTGTATTCACTCAATACAGCTGTTCTCCTTGGAAGGTTCAGAAGAGTCAGTCCAGGGTCAGCCAAACTCTCCGAACCCTTTCTCATATAACACCTTAATGGAATCTAGAATAGCTACCCTTCCCTCCATAAAATTACAGGGCTACTTTTTCTGATAATTACAGTTCTCCAGTCAGTAGCATAGATTTGCTTTATCATCATAGGCAATTTCCAAAACATGAAGTCATTCATGTTATTTGCTAAAAATGAGCAACCATCACAGAAGATAAGAAAAATAAAACTCTTAACCAACACATTAAGATTATTGCTACACTTGCCTAATAGGTAAACAAATTCAAATGTTATAGTCTGTCCAAAAGCTATTAAAGTTGCAATAAGTGTATAAACAATATAGTGTAGAGCTTAAGAGATATATTTTTCCAGGGCAGCATTGAAACAAGTAGTTAAGGAGGAAAATTAGAAAAAAAAAAGTTCCTAATCATGGTGCTCTGAAAACACACTAGAAACATCAGACTTCACGTGCACCCCATTTTTTGATCAGGCTCTTCTGGGGTAAAAATGCACATAGATCACATTGGAGTTATTCTGTTTGAATACCACATTTTGTTGTTTACATTTGTAATTCACCATGAAAGGGAAGAGGACTTTCAAAAAACTTTTAAACACGCCTCCTTCCCCCAACCTGTATTGAATAATTTGGAAATGATCGCAGCTATAAATGTCTTACAATAATGAAAAATAAGATTGTTAGATTTTTTTCTCCTCCAAAGGTATGGCTTATTAAATTACCGTATTTCCAGCTCAAAAGCAGTGAATTGATTTTTGTCAGCTGATCTAAGGAAAGCTCAGTCAGAAGGTCACATTAAATCCAAGACTCTAGAAAAATTCCACTAAATCATAACTGGAAAAAGTTAAGCCGCACTACAAATAAAACTGAAGGCTACCCACAGATGACTGGTTTTATACCCAATGTGAAGCAGAACTCAGTTAGCTACACTGGTGCCATACGTGAAGATCCATAGTGACCTTATAATAGGAACACACCCATTAGAAGACAGCAGTTCTTGTAGTATGGGATAACTTAATATAAACGCTAGAGAATATTACTTTAGAGCCATCTGTATACAATTTGAAATGGAAAATCTTCATGGAGTTTAAGGTTTTGTTCACAAGTTAACCAAACTGCAGTAAATCACGAAAAGAAAGTCAAGCTGTTTTATCCCAGCTTTTTTATAGTCCAGAAGTATTTTTTTTAAAATGACCTTATGACATGGTTGTCCTATATGGTGTGAGAGCTGGCAGACCTTAATGTCAGCAAATTGTTAGTTACAGTTAATCATATTATAACTATGTATTCTAGCACAGTAGATTATCAAACTGTTACAGGATTTATACCTTTGTTTTACAGCGGTGACTTGGGAAATGCTTTAGAACTTGCCAGTTAGAGGGGGGCTTTTGTGTGTTCATTATGTACTTTGTAACTCATTTCTATGCAATACACTACTCCTTTTCTGCTCTCTCATTACAGAGAATTGGCAATCCCCTAGCTTCAAAATATACTGATCTGAATAAACCCCCACTTGCAGAAGTGTCATACAGCAATGCTTCAAACACTGAGCTATAAAAAGTACTGAATCTGGAACTTTCCAGAGTCCTACAGCCCTCTAATTATGCAGTGTTCAGTAGATCATGATATTTGACAGCGTCTGCTTCCGGTCCCTGCTACCAATCCTAATTCAGGAGAGACTGACTCTCTGGAAATGAATATATAGTTTAGTTTCCACGTCCATTTCATCCTTAGCTTCTCCATGATCAGACTAACCTGATTAACAGTTAATGCCAGCTCTGGTGCTAGTATTTAGTTGCAACAGGGCCATGACTGTAAAACAAGTTTTACAGAGGTCACCTAAACAGCCAACAGCTGATAGGTAACTTGTAATCAGTACTGGCCTGAGCTGGAGTTGAATTGGAATCTTCAATCTATTCCCCGAGCCATTGTTACCCAATGCCTTCCATTTTAAGAAGTCTCTCACAGGATAGGCAAGCTACTCAGGGCTCAAGCAGGAGACTTCTGCCCTGGAGGCACCCTGCCCGGACTCCTGCACTGGGGACAACCCATGCAAATAGGGTAAACATGTTGGCAGGCCAGCAGGGATTGCCTAAAAACCCAAATATTGTTCCCAGGAAGCTAGTGATTTCAGAAGTGAGGAACAGATATTTTGGTTTTCCAGTCAGGTCTTCTGAGTACCTGCAAGAGACACTCCTGAAGTCCCTCCCTCCTCAGCTTATCAGAACTAAGGGAAAACAGCTGTGCTTATTTAGATATGCAATAGACCAGAGCAAGACCACTAACTGATGGAGTTTACAGAGGTCGTTTTGACCTCAGAAGAGAGACAGGAGGGTCTCTCCACAAAAGCTGTTATGATGAGAAGCCAGATTGTTCATAACAGGACCTGCCAACTCAAAGGTTTATCCCCGTTTGAAGTATTCAAGTATCTAGCACTGGCTAAGTTCTTTGGAGGGACAGATTGGAAAATAAGAGGTTGTACTTTCATGGACTACAATGACCTTTGGATCAGGCCCTTAGTAGATGTGGGACAGTGAGGACTGAAAGATGCTGGATTTGACTTCAGCTATTGTTAAGACAATGTATAGTATAGAATTATTAGCTTTGGATTTTGTGCAGATCAAAAGTTGTAAAAACAAACCTCATAAATGTCTGTTTTTAAAATTGAAAATGGATTCCTCCTGAATGTGCCCAGCTGTGCCAACTTTCCGTCTCCATCCTGCCACACCCAACTATCATATTGCATTTTTAGAGGGACAATATTCAACATTAATGGGCTAAAAAGTTGCACAATCCTCACACACATTTTTCTAGAGGACTAAAAGCTGTATGAAGATTAGAATCCCACGGCCTAATCATTCCTTTTCCCACCGACATGTGTGTGCACACAAACCTGCCCCCCCCCCCAGATGAGAGGTCCACACTAGGTAGTCAGGTGCCTCTGTAGCACCAGCACCATCCCACCTCCCAGGACATCATGGGGGGGTTCTCTCAAAGATCAACAATCTCCAGTTAAAGGGAAAACATCAGCTGGACCCGTGGAGAATTTGCAGAAAAAGCAGCGAAGCCTCAGCCTGTGCTATCTCCCATGCTAAACCCTCTACACGTGGGCAATGTTCCTAAAGGGGGGCCCTGAGGCAACTGCCAAGGAAGCTCTAGGAGCTTGGCCTCACTCAAGCCATATTGCCAGGGATTCAGAGAGGAAACAGTGCCAGTGCATAACCACTGGGCCTCTATACCGAAGGCCCTGGCATCCAGCAGGTCCCCCGAGCTCCATGAGGTTTTTGGGGGTGGGAAAACAACAGCTGGTTCCACTGGGTTGATAGCAGAGCTCACCCTTTCCCCAAATGGAACAGTCTAGGTTCCCACACTCCATCCCTGAGGGATTTCTTCAGAAGAGGGAGACGGAGCATCTGAATTAGAAACTAGGTGAGCCACTGTTCAGATTCTGCATGCACTTCTGTGCGAGTGATACCTGTGCATATCACACTATGCCATGTTTTCACTATTCTCACAGGACAACAAGGGACAGAGAGCCCTGCTGTCTGAGCTCCACTTCTCTGAGCAATACAAAAAAGAGGGTTGTGGTCACTTCTGATCCCCTGCCAGCTCTAAAGAACAGAGTAGTCACAGAGAGCAGGACAGCTCTGTTTGCATATTCAGTTTAGCAATAAACTCAGCACCCTGTACTAGTAAGTCATTTAGAAGTTGGGACTTTAAGACTGAGCTATTAGGAAGTCTAATAGATATTTCACCATCCGGGTGAAAGAAAAAGTTGCATTTCAAAAATTTCTTTTAGAATAGAGGAAGAAGGTTGTATTTTAGTCCTGTCATCCTGAACAGTATAGTATCCCTTTTTAAATTGGGAGCTCTCTGTATTCTGTACACATTCTTTGTTAACTCGCAAAAGACAAAAATATACAGTTCAGTGCAAGAGCAGGAATAATCACAGACCAATTCAAGTCTGAGCAAAGGAAAAATTGGGTCTCATTTGCTGTTTGTAGCGTGGGACATGTTACAATGTTTTCTATTTCAGTTAACATTAAAGCTGCATACATGGAAGATTAAATGTGTCTTCTTAGGGCAGGTCTACACTACGAGATTAAGTCAACTTAAGTTATGCAACTCCAGCTACGTGAATAATGTAGCTGGAGTCAACATAGCTTACGTCAACTTATCGCGGTGTCTTCACCGCGCTGGGTCGATAGGAGAAACTCTCCTGTCGACTTACCTTATGCTTCTCATTCCAGTGGAGTCAACAGGAGAGCGATCTGCGGTCAATTTAGCGGGTCTTCACTAGATCCGCTAAATCAACTCCCGGTGGATCGATCACCACAGCATCAATCCACGGTAAGCGTAGACATACCCTTAGAGATATAAAAGCCACACAAAAGAGCAAAGTGCATTTGCTTTAAAATAAAGAAGCCTGACACTGTCATTTTTAAAGTAGACTCCCAAGTTCAACCCACAAACATTTCACACATACATGTATGTAGAACAAGAAATTGTACACAGGTGAACAAGGAGCTAATCTTGCAACTTGTTGCACATTGGCACACTGCTGTGCTCGTACAGGATCAGGGCCATTTTTTTTTTTAAGCACACATGTTTTTCTGGTACAAATCAGGAAGCTTCTCTGACAACTTTTCCTGAAAATGCATTTTTGCTCTGTCATTTTATACAATAATATCTGGTTATAATACACACTTGCTTTGTGCCAGGTGCAATTCTTTTTTTTTAAAAAAAAAGAAAGGGATAATAGCAACTTAAAAAACAAATATAAACCACACTTCTTTCAGCATATTCCACTGAACAAGTATAAAAGTGGAAGAGTAGAGAAGAAAGTTTTCTCTTTTACTTATCCAGTTTACTTTGGTCACTTAATAACACTGTGCAAGATTGGGGCTTCCAGCTAACATTTATGCACATGCTTAAAGTTACTCACATGTTTAGAATATGTGCAAGAGTGGAGTCAGCTTTCGCACCTTTGGCTCCAATCCTTCATCCAATTAATAGGGTTCACTTATGCAGGTTGAATGATAAGATCAGGACCATTGGATAGTTTTTTTCCCCCCTCGCAGGAATAGAGAAGAGAGTTTTCTTTTAAAAAAATACAAAGATACAATTGTAAAACATGAAGAGGCAAATGTATTTTTTTAAAAGTCAAAATTGTTTCTAGATAAAGAAATTTAGTTTAACAGTATCTCTGTTAATATCTCAAACTTGCAGCAATGAACATGCTTACTAAATAATTAGATCTCTTCAAAGTCTTCCGTGAAAGGCATTGTATAAGCATTATTATTATAAAACACTAAATGCAAAGCATTTTCATTTGCTTTATAACTGTTAGAAACATAGCTTTCTCTTTGCACAGGTTGTCCTAAGAAATTTAGGCTTTAGTATAATATAAAAACAATCCTGGAAGTGTATGGCATTAAAATAGTTAATTTGTGTTCATTCAAAAGCTTCTGGACTTCCAGAAAAAATTATATTATATATAAAGCTTAAAATAAAAGTTATATTCTCTGCATATACCAAATTATAATAATTGAATTTTGCTGTTCATACCTACATTTCTGTATAGTACAGGGAATACAGAAAACTGAGTTTTTCCCCCATCAACATACTTTTTTTAAAATTCCATTTACAATTATTACTTTCTAATCACAGGAAAGCAATCATTAACCTTATGCCTGACCTATATTATCACAACAGAACACTCTTGAACCAGACTGTAGGACACCTGTTCTTTACTTGCTACATACACCTTGCTCAGGATAAAGCAGTCACTTCACCTAGTACCACAAACACTCTTAAAACTAGTATTTTAGTACACGGTTTTCAAAGCATTTTGGCTACCAAGAGAATCTTAACATCATGCTTACCTTATCAAATCATGCAGAGTGCTCTAGCCACACTTCCTGCTTTCTGACAAGTTGTATCATACTTCAGCAGAGGGGTGGAGTCAACCAGTATTTTAATCAGAAGGGAAAACGCCCTAGGAACAGCTTGTTAAAGTAAGTGTGAGGCTAGGAACAAAGGAAAAAAATAGTAACACTTTAAATTAACTTTTAGAAATACCTGTCTTAATACATTGTCTTACACATTTACCACACCACATTTAAAGTTACTTTACTTCCCTTTACCTTGATGTGTAAGTAATGAAAAATACATAATATTTTACTCACTGGGGGGGAACACTCTTCTTAGACAAATAGGCAAGAAGAATTTTGCCAGGCTGCAACAATTAATGCATATAATTATGCACACACTTAACTTCACTACTGAATGTAGCCCATTGATTTCAATGGGACCATTCCGAGTAGTAAAGTTAAACAAATGCATGTTTGCAGAATTGAGAACTAAGGCCTAGATCCTCACAGGTATTAATTAGTGCCTAACTTCCATTGAAATCAATCTGAGGATCTGAATGCTAAAGTCCTAATCATGTAATGAGCGCTAGGCAAGCAGACCTATTTCCATGGACAGCTGTATTAATTTCTGAGGGGCTTTATGTGTGCACAAGCCTCTGCCTGCATTTTCATTTTGGGATTGGGTCCTAAAAGATCAAATTCATTTTTCATTAATTTGTATTTTTCATTTTAATTTTCATTAATAATAATATGTGTTAAAGCAAATTGCAGGGAAATCTTAAAAAGTTATAAAAGCAGGAGAGCTATATTTGCCTCCAAATGAAAACATTTGAGGATATTTTAGAATAATTTATTGGTGGGGGCACTATTTCTAATAATTGTTAATTTGTAATTAAGGGTGTTGTCCTGCTATCATTATATAAGAACTTCCTCCAGTTGCTTCTATTGAAAGGCAAATTCAAATGGTTTGTGTAAAACTTAGGACTGATCCTGCAAGCTGATCTCTACAGCTTGACCCCCTAGGCAGACCACCAATCAAATCAATGGGGCTTTATAGGAGTCAACCTTACAGGATCCAGTGCAATAAATAAGCATATTTTGTTTTGCAGACTTGAAATGTTAAAAGTTACCTAGTAATGCTCTCAAGATCCTTGTACCTGTGAGGTGCCCTGTTAACTTCATTGAGGCTCTGGCCAGGATCGTCAATGGCTTCTAGGCACCTAGCTCCCACTGAAATCAATGAGGATTTGGCTCTCTGTGGCTACACAGGATCCTTCCTGCAGACCATTATGCCTATGAGAAATCTTACTGACTTCAATGTAAAATTAGTCCTGAGTGTGCATGTTTGCCAGATTGAAGCTTTTATTACCAACAAAGCAAATATGTACTGTCTTTAATTGGAAGTCTGCTTGCATAAGATTGCCAGGGGCCCCTAAGTATTTATGCAGACATCTTATGTCACAACTTCAATGTCCCTCATGTTTTGACTAAATCCTTTATTGCTCAGAAACCACAGTATCTTTTTAAAAAAAAGGAGGGGAGGGGAAAGAAGCAGCAACAAATATTCATAAAAACTCAAAGATATTCAGAAACAGGAAGTATTGTCCCTTTTCAGCCCTTGTAGATCCTCTCCTATTTACTGCAAAGAGAGAAGTTTTATTAGGGTTTCCATAGTTTCTGCCCCACTCACTGAGATAACACAGGGCCTTGAGATAACAAGCTCTTATTCTCTTTTCCAGACCAGCCAATATAAGGAGCATAGTTCAGCTGAAGACTCAGCCCACAGACTTTAAGAGAGAGCATAAGTCTTCCAGTGAAATACATTAATCAAATGTATCTTATTGTGTGTTTGAATGCTGTGCAAAACTATATATCTATATTTGGCTGCTTATATGTAAAAACTGAAGGGAAGTTTGGAATGAAGAGTTTGAGAGTGTTTAGATATCTTGATGTGGTATTTGGGGCTGGTATGGAGGGATATCTTGTCTTAAATGGTGACTTTGACTTCCTGGAGTTTTAGATGTTGCTTTATTAGGAAATGCACTTATGCAAACTCAACTGTAAGTTAAAGATATTTTTTGTGGGTGGGTATTTAAACTGAGGATAATGACGTAACATTAGGATTTCCCTAGCGTGCTCTCAATGAAAAGTCAGGACTTTAATAAAGATACTGATCTGAGTTTCTATATCCCTCCCTAACTCCCCTAATGCATTGCTGGCCTCTGCACAGGAGTGAATTTCACTTATGATGATGCACAGTAGCAATACCATATTTACATTATGTTTTGACATGATGTGCAGTTAATCCACTCAGAGGCTTATTTACAAGTAAACTGGAACAATTTTTATGACCTCATTGGCATTAAGTTATAATTAATGCTAGTTAGAAAAATATAACTATCTACTGAAATACAGGAGACTTGCTTAGTATCATATAATTTCTCTCTAGTCCCACTTTTCTTAGAATATGTCGACCACCAACCAATTTCAATACTATGATGAATTTTAGAGATGCTCTGTAAAAGCTTATTCCAAGGTAGGTTTATGGTGCAAAATAATAATGAAATATCAATTCCATAAGCTATCAAATTGTTAATGTTTTAGGCCCCAATCCTGGGGTGATCTTCCTCAGTGAAATCATTGCATAAGCAGGTCCTTATTTTGTAGTATCTAAAGAAACACCATACAAAATCAAAATATAGGTGTTTGTTCCAGGTCAGTAGCAAATAAGGTTACTTCATGTCCACTTTCCACTCATAAGTAAACCTAAAAATACAGTATTTTTGATAAAATTATGAGTCATAAAACCCACAAAATAAGGTAAATCTGATTTGAAAAGTGCCCATCTGTTCCTAATCCATTTCTCTGTTATAATTTACAACCACCTTGCTTGTAACTGTTATTTGTAAACCACTTAAAATATAGCCAAGTTAGGAGAACTCAATTAGAATTAAGGTCTCAGCAGTTGGCTTGTGCAGATCTCATTACAATATAAAGATCTGTGCCCCTGAACGATGAGCTGAAATTATAAAAGATACAGCTAATTACCTGATTTTCACCTTCACAGAGGGACGCTCAGCTTTGAAAATGTAGCCCTTGATGCCACTTTAGTGTATATTTTGCTGATAACAGTAGTTAGACATTGGAAAGTGAATCCATTTGTCCCTCCATGTTAAACTGGGCAAAAGGAGGGGATGACATTTTGTTGTTGCTCACTTGTTCAGCTCCTCTGATTTCAGTAGCTGTTAATGATTGTTTTATAACATTTTGGCAAATATTATTACAAAAGAAAAGAAAAGAAGGAACCAATAATAATAAGTGAGAACAGGTGCATATACTCCCACTAAAACAGACGTCCTTAATCTTTCTCCAGGGATTCTGCAGCTTTTCAAGCTTGTTGATCCCCTTTTCAAAATACACGAACAGGTGCACAGTCCTAGTGAAAATGTTTCCATAAACAAGGCTCTTATGCTATAAGAGACAAATCATTCTTAAACTTAATATTTCTGCACAATATGCAGTCAAAGCCAGAAAAGAGTGTCAGAGTGTATCAAGGAAATATACCCCTGCAGGGTATGTACTAGAAAAGGCCCTCAGCTGGATCCTGAGGCCGCAGGAAGTGTCACTTACTTGTAATACAACAAATATATTGCAGTTATAACAACCTATGACTTGACACTGTTTAATCAGTTTAAGGACTAATATACACATTGCAGACCACAAGCTCCCATCTGAACTGAATGACCCATAAAAAATACAAGTTTTCATCCCACCAGCTTCTTATCTCTTTTGTTAACTTTTCCCTCTCCCGCTCTACCCACTTGTTCTTCACTATGAAGGAGCTCTTTCACACTACCCTTCTTCTCCCTACCTGCCTCCTCTCCACTGGCCTAGGTTTTCCAGACAGAACCTCTCCCAAGCCAATTTTCCTGAGCCCAGCCAAGTAGTTCAAAATGCTTTGTAAATATTACACCCTAGTGAGGTAGATAAGTATTATTTTGCCCATTTCACAGTGAAACTGGGGCAAAGAGACTAAAGCTGAAGTTTAAACATGTCCGCTAACAAATTCTGAGCACATCAGTATTTAGGTTCCCAGTCTGAGGTACCTAGAATCCAATTTTCAGAAGCACTTAGCACAAAGCACTCCAACAGAAGTTAATGGGAGCCACAAGTCCTCAGCATCTCTTAAAATCAGGTCCTAAGCATCTCAGTCTGTGCCCCTAAAAATTGAGGCACTTAAAATTAGTAGACATTTCAACATTTTAGTCCAAGGACACACAGCAGTTAGTGGTGGTTCAGGGTCTAGAAACCAGGCATCCTGGGTTAATTATGTGTAACCCCTTTAGAGGAGAAGCTCCTGTATTACCACACTGAGCCTCAAGGAGGCTGGCCCCTGGACTCCAGAAGCAATGGCGATACAGGCTCAGGACTCTGCTTCTCAGATTATTTTAGGCTCCGGGGCAGAGATGGAATTTGCTTGCAACTCAACCAGACCCAAGCATAAGCTAGAACTCAGAGACAAAGGGCTTGGTTTTGGTTTTGCTTTCAGTTTTGGCTTTTGTTTGGAGTGTAGCAGAGAGAGAACCATCACAGCTAGGAAGAACCCTTCTATTATCCACACTCCTAGCCAAGGGAAGACTTAGAGCCCTTTGAGGATTTCTGGGACATTGGACAGTGTCATCTCAGCAGAAACCAGAAACCCAGGAGGCTGAGGAGAGAGTCACAGGCTACCAAGAGGCAGCCTAACTCCACATTTGAATGCAGACCAGAGAGCCACAAAGACTCTCTTACAATTCTTGGTGTGGATACTTTAAGAACACCCCTGTTTGTTTATTTTGATATTGTGTTTTAAGCCATTCTCTGACTTCAGCACTGCACTGCCCAACAAAGACTGTGCCTAAACTAACTGTTTGCCTAAGCAGGTGCTGGGAGGGGGCGCATGGTGATGTGCTTGTAACTGCTAGCCGCTGCCTCCATCTTCTGCAGGCGAAATGCCACCTTTGAAACACCTGCCACCATCTCTTGGCAGCAGTGTCTGCAGAGGCATGCCAAATAAGCAATGACTCCCTAAAAAGCAGCAGCTGTCAGTCTCAATTATTAGGG